CTACCCAGGAAACAAACAAAAGCAACAACAACAAGAAAAGATTTTACCTGAGAGATTTTTTTAAAAATTTTTAAAAATCATCTCTCAGACATTAAATTCATAAAATACTATATTTTAAAATTATAAAGCCCAGTATGACCATGCTTTTAGAAATAACATTGCTAACTGCTGAAAAATTACCTCCTCTGCTCAGAGCAGGTAATTTATTTCCAATTTTATGCAGTGAATTACAGTGGTTTAGGAAAGAATGAAGGAGAAATGTAAATGCAATGTGAATTTTAAATAGATAATTTAATTAGCTAAGCTAGAAAAATAACTGAACATTAAAAGCCGCACACCTGGAATCTTGCCAAAAGTGAAAGGCAATCTCTCATAACCTGTATTTTATACCACAGAAATTACATTTTCACCAGTAATAATATCCCCTAGAACCATGCCTAGGCATTCTTCCTCTGACACACAGTGAAGAGTGCCACCTATTGAATAACAAACAGTATTTCCAGAAATAATTAAATTATTCTGGAACCACGCCATCTACGTACTCCCCCCCTCAACCCAAGCATTCAGTTTAGCTTTTCATCACCCAGTTTCCTGGCAGACAGCAGTTATACTGTTAACATTGTTACAGAATTGATGGCCAAAATATTACTTTGGTATAGAAACAAGGCACCCAATCCACATTGTCTAAAAATCAGAAAACTCTTATGCATTCTCACACCAAAGAAGAAAAATTTTATTTAATTATGTATGTTGCATCAGAAGGTGATACCATAGTGTTTTGTCCAATCTTCTCTACTAATAACTGTATTTTCCAGAAATAAGATTAGAAGGTATCAAAGACACGAAACACACACACAAAAAAAAAGCAGTATTTTCTGAAGTCTGTTCTTTGTTCACACAACAAAGGTGTACATTTTCTATATATTTTACTTTACTGTTAGAAGGAAAAACCTACTTTCATTCAGAGTTGAATACTTCTGTATTTACACTGGCAACCAAAGTATCTCGCAGAGGACCTAATGCACAAATATTTCATATCCATATGCTGTGATCTCAGAGTCATGCTACCGAGTAGCAGCTGATAAGACAACACAGTATGTCTCCCTGAAGAAGCCTTACTAGGTGCTGCATAGCATGCAGCAATGCTAGTCCACCCATGAGTTACCATGTTGGTACAGACGACATATTCTATGTTTATAAACACTGTAAACTAACATTACAGTCTATCGATTCAGAGTTCTAAATACACACAACCTAGCCAAGGAAAAATGTGTGGTATGTTGCAAGAGTCTGCATGTAATGTGATACCAAACAATATTGCTATAACCCAACCAAGACTTGGAACTGACCCATCTATATACAAAACATTTGAATGAGTCAGCAGCCCCACTGCATTTCCCAGGCCTGCTGTAGACTATCATACCGTTCCCAGACGCATTTCCTCAGATTGTGTTTGCCTCATGAACAAGGTCACTAGTAACAAAAAGTGATATAAAGGTCAATGACTAGGAAAAGATGACAATATGCAGAGTAATTTTATCTGGTTATCCATTAACCTATTCAATATATTGAAGTTCCACAGAATTCCTCCAGCTATTTGCCTCCCACCTTTTTATTGTCTAACATAATAGAGCAGTGTGTTAAAATGAAGTTCTGCTATTGTTTTGGTACTGTGCACACTACTGCCTTACTGTGACTACACACACACACACAAGTGAACAGCCTCTAAAGCAATCACTGTCTCCTTGACTGAAGTCTTTGTTCCATGCTCCATAAGTATGTAAAGTTAACAGACGTCAGGAAAAATGTGCCAGCGTTGTTTTTTTTCCCTAAGCCAAAGACTGGACTGTATGTAGTTGTATCCAAACTAGCTTTAAACCTGCTAGAAGTCTAATTGTATTGGCTGTGCAGTTCTAGCACTGCCAGCATAAACCTTGCATATGTAGATGGTGGCTGAAGTTTTTGCAACTGTAGCAACAGTGCTATCAGTAATTGAGATTATACCACTATGGTTATGCTGCTATCTGAATCACAAAGCATTTGGTCCACACTGGAGATCCCTTTCTGAGGGTGATATAAGATAACTGGAACAGTAGTTGTCCCACCTAACTCTGATTACTGCACAAGGTAAGCCTACTGCTGAATAAAGACCTCCACAAGCCAAAGGTAGACTACATGGATTTTTGGTTTGACAGAACAAATTCATATATTAATGTTGTTGTGATTACAAGAAAAACACTAAAATCAGCTACACACAAGAAACAAATTTCTACAATGCACAGCCATGAGAAATTACTATTTTACCTTCAATGTAGTGATAATAAAGAAAGATTACCACCTGAGAAATGCATAAAAATTCTTGATCCTTTTCCTTGTAGAATCAAAAAATCATCAAACTGGGGAGGTGGATATCAGGAGGTCTCTCATCCAATCTCTTGGTCAAAGCAGTGTCAACTATGAGATCAGATCAAATGCCTTACGGCTTTGTCTAGCCAGGTCTGCAAAATTTTCAAGGATGGAGACTTCACAGACTCTCCATGCAACCTCCTTCCCATTCTTAACTACCCTCAGAGGTTTGTTGTTGGTTTTTTTTTCTTTAAATCCAGTTGGAACCTCCCCATTTCAATTTATGAATATTGTCTCTTGTTCTCCCACCATGTAACTAAGTAAATATACTACAGCTCTGTCTTCTCTGTGACATCCTCTTTGCTACTGGAAAGCTACTGTTAGGTCCACCTGAGCCATCTCTTCTCCAGGTTAAACAAACAAGTCTCCTCAGCCTCACAGGTCAAGTGCTTCAGCCCCAAATCATCTCGGTGGCCCTCTGCTGAACTTGCTCAGCTGTGTCAACACCTTTCTTGACTGGGGAGCCCAAAACTGGACACAATACTCTAGACACAGTATAATGAGTACCAGGTAAAGGGGAGTAATTAATTCCCTTAATCTATTGGTAATACTCATGTTGATACAGCCAAGTATGCTGTTAACCTTCATCACCACATGGCATGCTGCTGGCTCATGTTTGGTCTGCTGTGCACAGTGATGCCAGGGCCTTGTCAACAGGGCTGCTCCCTGGCCAGCCAGGCTCCACCTTGCACTGTTAGAGGGAGTTATTCCTCTCTAATGCAGAACTCTGCATTTGTCCTTGGCAAGTTTCATACCATTCCTGTCAGCCCACTACTCCAGTCTAACTCCCAGTGAGTGGCAGCCCTGCGTTCCAGCTTACAGAGCAGATCTAGCCATTTCATCAAAGGTGGCAATCAGGTTGGTCAAGGATGACTTACTGTGCTGGTTTGGGCTGGGATAGAGTTAATTGTCTTCACAGTAGCTGGTACGGGGCTGTGTGTTGGATTTGTACTGAAAACAGTGTTGATAACACAGAGATATTTGCGTTACTGCTGAGCAGCACTTACACAGAGCCAAGGCCTTTTCTGCTCCTCACATCACCCCACCAGCGAGGAGCCTGGGGGTGCACAAGAAGTTGGGAGGGGGCACAGCCAGGACAGCTGACCCCAACTGACCAAAGGAATATCCCATGCCATATGATGTCATGCTCAGCATATACAGCTGGGGGAAGAAGAAGGAAGGGGCATTGTTTGGATGGCATTTGTCTTCCCAAGTAATCGTTACATGTGGTGGAGCCCTGCTTTCCTGGGGATGGCTGAACACCTGCCTGCCCATGGGAAATGTTTTGCTCTGCTTGTGCATGCGGCTTTTGCTTTACCTATTAAACTGTCTTTATCTCAACCCACGAGTTTTCTCACTTTTACTCTTACAATTCTCTTCCCCATCCCACTGGGGGAGGAGTAAGCAAGCAGCCACGTGGTGCTTAGTTGCCAGCTGGAGTTAAATCATGACATGTACCCTCAGTAAATCCATGTTGACTATTCCCAATCACCACCTTCTTCATTTGCACACCTCTTAAGTCAATCACCTATACTGATGTCTTTTGCTAATATATCAAAATACATGGGGTTTCCTAGTAAAAATCTGGCTTCATCAGGTTACCCATGCCAGCTGTCATCTCACCTCAGTCTCTCCTTCACTACTGTACTAGTTTGGAACTCTCCTTTTGACTTAATCTTTTTAATGTTTTATATATTTTCTCCCTAATTCTCTTCTGTATAGGCTGCTTTGTAGCTCTTTCAGCACAGATCAAACAGCACATTTACAATGTATATTTAAAAATTAGGAAAAAGACTCCTGAAGTCCTTGAGGTTCCCTTGTCACTAGTTTTTAGTTAAATCTCCTTATTGTAACTTGAGAGTAATGTAATAAATTATACTTATTGTAAGAGAAAAGAATAGTAATATATTACTTCAGAGAGGCACATAAGTTTTGGGTTGTCAGTCCTGGCTCTATGAATTAGAAATAAACATAATTTTTGCCTACTAGGTTAACAATAGGATCCTCTTGGATTTTAAATTGCCTTTTCCCTACCTTCTTTTACTCAAAGTAGTAGTAAGGATGAAATGTGATGTACGTATTCTAAAAGAGTAAAAATTTTTTACTACCATTTTACTTAACATGCTCCTATTTTAAAGGTCCCTGTACCTAGGAAATTCATGTATTGAATGAAAATTAAGTTACAAAAATACACTAAATTAATTCAGAAAAGCTAAATCACACAATAACTTAGTGTATACAACATTCCCATCAGATCTGTCCTTCAAAGAAGACTGAATTACATGAGCCATAAAAAAAATCCTTTTAGTATGTATTTATATATGATTGTTTATGCTATCCCCTTCTGGGGAGGAAGAGGAGAATAATTTCTTTCACTTTGAAAGGCACTATGTTAATGGAAAACATGCATTACAACTGAAAAATATATTTCCCAGATTAAGAAAAATTATTTGAGACTTTTGGTTGTATATTTCTGTGGGGATTCCTTCAGGAATTTACACAATGTTGCAGAATTTTATTTTAAGACACATGGAATGATAAACTCCAAAGTTTTCAAACTAAGGAGAAAAATACAACAAAAATAGGAGACTTACAAGATTTTGCTCTAGGGATTTCAGCTGATGATCTATTTCTTTCAGACGATTTTGTTGATCACGTTGTTCCTTATTGGCTCGCAGAACCTTTTCACCTGGAACTGCTTCTAGGCTTCTGTTTGCATAAACCAGAGACTCCTGACAAAAGGAAGAATAGGCAGAAATTAAACATATTACTTTATATTGCTTGAAAGCCAGATGAGTGTTCTTTTAATTTCTATCAGGAAAACGTTGAAATGTTCAGAATAATGAGTCAATTTCAAATTTGGCAAATGCATAATTTTCATTATGCACATTTTCAAACACAATAGATTAATATCAAGCTGGACTTATTTTAATAAAAGAATTCTTCCCTTCATATTGTAAGAAGAATTTCTTAGTCTCCAGAGCTAACACTTTGATGCTTAAATTCTACTACAACAATAAAAATGCACTGAGAATTGGGAAGACTGAATGAGGGGTTCAAAGCTTGCTCCTGTTAACCATACTGGGATCAAAATTAGGCCAGAAGGGAAAAGAAGAACTGAACTGAGATGACTGTAGGTTTTGTTTACTAGATATCATGGTAAATGAGAAATAACCCAGTCTCTGTAAGTTGGAGTTAGATGCACAAGCATTATTAAAGATTTGGGTTACACATTCTCACATCCTTCAGTAGCTTTGGATCAGATTCTGAAGTTTGTATCAGACGTGAATACATTCAAGGTTCAATATTGCATGTATTTTAATCATTAAGAACAACAAATACTGGTAAAACAGCAAAATTATGTTGTAATTGGAAAAAAACCCAGGGCTTTCTCTTGCAAACCAAAGATCCTACAGAAGAACCCAAGGAATCCAAATAATGGTACCAGGATAAAAAACAACCAAAACAACCCTGTGTTAGTCAGTTCAACCCAAAGGAACATGAGCAGCCATTTAATAAAAACATAGTCTAGTCATTCTTATTTTCAGAAGCAGCTCAAGCAATCTTAACAAACACACACAAGGAAAAGAATTTCAAGTAGGGTGTCTAACTGGAAAGGAAAAAAACCTTTGCAATTTAATATTCAACGGAAAAATTCTCAACTACAACATATAAAAAATTGTGAACATCTGTAAACTGCTTTTTCTAAACATCAGACAAATCTATGAGTTCCAACATTTAAACTAAACTATTAGTTGCCTGAAAATAAACTTATTTTAATACAGTACAAATCTTTGAATATATATTTACAATCAGCACTACTGGCAGTACCATAATGCCAGTAAATTTTCCTATAACAGAGATATAAACAGCACCATCTGTTAACGACTAGAATCGCTCCAAACTGGACTGAGGCTTAATGTGGGCCACCTAATGCCAAATTCTTAATATTGAGTCTCTAAAGCCAGGCTTCTAAATATAGAGAGAGTTTCTTAATTAAATACAATGCCCAAGGGCAAGAAAACTACATGACTGATATCTATACAGAACATAAAAAAACCAAAGGACTTGTTTGTGTTTATTAATATATGAAACAAGGATATAACCTTTATATTTGCCATATAAATATAGAGTTGGCAAAGCAGCTCAAAGTCTAACAACTGAAGGTCTCTCTAACAAGAGGAATTGCTTTAGTGTGGCTTTGTTCTTCCGGTGATTTTAACATAAGTGCAATTGTACATGTAAAGGCAGGGAGGAAGATGATGGCATATTTCTTTTTCTTCGTCAAAAAAAAAGTTATAGCTATTTCTGCAATTACATTTGTAAATCCAATCTTTTGATCCATGCATATAGAGGGACATTGCCATCTGAGCAGTTAGTGCTCAGCATGGATCAGAGCTGCAGTTATGATTTGTTTTAAAAAGCAGTGTTACGAACACATCTATAAGAATATGCAACTAGCGATACTGAGAAGTCACTAAATACTACATTATACTTCTCAGTATTTTATTTTGGGGGTTGTATGCATGGACTACTACTTGATACTTTTACATGAACTCAGCCTTCAGTGAAGAACAGAGCTCAAACTGCAAACAGCATCTCTGAAAATATTATTGCTCCAATACCAGGTAGATTTAAAAAGGTAACAGTGAGAGGAGTAATAAAATAAAAAAAATTACTACCTTCAAATTTTACTTTCTTTTCCATGCACATTTCTGAAGCAAAGCTTTATGCAGATCTCTGTCCTAGTCTTTCAAACAGTTTGAGGCATACATATTTCATTTTACAGACAGCTCAGCTGCTGCAAGCACCTATGAGCAAACTCTTCAAACTTTAGGAAAACTATGTATTTTAAGTTATTTTTCCTTTTATCACAGTCAGTATGATTTTAAGCCTGGTTGCTTCTCTAGTAAGACAATATTGTTTTATCAAAATAAATTCTTAACTGGGATAAACATGACAACTTTCTTCTCCATAAACTTTTCTTGTATATTGATTGCCGCCATCATACTTAACCAATTCTTATCAGAAAGTGCTGGATAAAACTTGAACTATGAACATTTACCAGAAAACAGAAGTAAAAAGTACTTGTTTCAACATTTCTCCAACATGTTGAGTATTTATTCAGCTTTAAAGTGTTAACTATAGCCTACTGCTATAATTGAAAAATGGAATATTTTTCTGATAAAAGAAACCCAATCAGGTATGAAAGAACTCATCAAGGTAATATAAAAATAATTACCTTAATGCTGTGTAAGACAATCAAGCCGACAGATATTATTGTTTCTTTAAACACCATCTCCGTCTCCTTTTATTTTCAGGTAGTTTTCCAGGTTTTCAAGCTGGTAACTGTACTCATTACACACAGTCTTACACTTCATATTCTTTATCTTACCATTTTCTTGTCTCTTTCAGGATTACATTCAACTTAATGTGTTCTTCCCAAAAAATATTAAGACAGAAGCATTTTTAAATATTTAATGAAGCTGGCACCAGAACAAAGAAATGTTTCAGAGAGAAATACAGTTCTGATGAGAAACATTTCCATGTAAAAGAGAACATTAGTCATGGAAAAGCATTCTGAATCCAGCTGGACTCATTGCACAAAAAGAAGAATCTGTATGCTCCTCTGTAACAGCTCAGCTATGGTACTGTAGGATAATGAAAGCCAGTTGTTAAAGATTCCAGAGTCAGAGCAGAACTCCTATATCCTGCCAAAGTATCTATCAGTGGCAGGAAGCAGCTCTCCCATTGAGCCAATGGTTGATTAAGTGTTTGCATTTTGAAAGCTATATCTAATGCAATTCTTGGAAGAAAAGAATGTGCAGCTTTATGATATGCAATCTAAGCTAATTTTGTTTTAATTACTTCTAAAATTCTAAATGAAAATCCAAGCAGATGATTTACACACTAACAATTTTTCCCAATGTTCCCCATCACTAATGCATTATACCCCACTCAACCACAACAGATGAAATCCACATCTCATAGAAATCAGAAAGAATTTCAGCCCTGAGTTTTAGAAGAAAGATTAACGTCACTGAAATCAGCCTCTTCTCCAAAGGAAAGGACATCCATGTTCCAAATTAGACTTGTGTCCCATAACTGCTAGACTCATTCAAAATAAATTCTGTATGTTCAGAAATTTTTTTAGCCCTCTCCTGGCAGCTTAATTTAAAAAAATACAAACTTTGAAAAACCAAACTCCTAAGAAACAAATATTGCAGCGCATTCAAATTTGCATTCCATATAATCTGCACCAACGTCTTTATCTAGCAATTAAGTTTGACCTCAATTATGGGAAAAGTAGTGATACAATCTAAACAAACTCTGTACAAAAGAAATCAATAGAAACTTATCTGAGACTTCAATGATACCAGATTATCATTATTGGTTTTGAATACTGCAGAACCCCAGTCTCACATACAAATATTTTGGTTTTTTACACTGTTTAGAGAATATGTGTGAGGGTTAATAAACAAGGTAATTCCTGCATATTTAATTCACTCTATTAGTAAGTTAAATGTGTCCCACTTCTAATCTGTTTTTTCAGAGGAAAAAGTTTATCAGCCTTCCAGTGCTGATATAGCTAATTTACTTCCTCATTTAGTTACTGTGGTCAACCGAAGCAGCAATTGAAAATCTTGTCATTAAACATGTGAAATTAAACCCAAGGGCAGACAACCAGAACTCTTACTGCCTTTGTCTTGCATGCAGCATTCATACTATCATATCAAAAAACAAGATTGTCTTTTAGCAAAAGCATCATTCAATTAATTTCTTGAGATCCTTTCTCGGAAGGTATCAGTTGCTTTTGATCAGGTTCCAAGAGACATTCAGTACAAAGAATTCTGATATTGCTCTGTGACCCATTTATTTTCTGATATCGGAACTGATGCTTCAAGAATAGTTTAACTATTTTTAAATTCATTAAAATTTCCAGTTTATAACAATATTAGGGGATATTGATTGTGATAAATAAGGCTGTTTTTATTAAAAAGACAATGAGCAGCAATGAACTTAAAAAAAACTACTTGCAAAAAAACAATCATTTTTCATGCCTTTTGACAGGAAGCTATCTAAACTCAAAATAGTCATTAATTTCTCAGCTACTGCTGCACGTTACTTCCTGTTTTTTTGAAAAAGCAACTGTTAAAGGAATGTAAGAACAAAAGGTGTTGAGAATGAACTCACGTAACCCAATTCAGAACTTGACCTGTTGTTATTGCTTTATGTATGAATTGCCAAGTGAGTATTTACCTACCAAAACAAAAATAACCATAACCAAGAAAATCGGACAAAAGGCTAGACCTGGTACGAAGCTTCCACAGTAAGCAGTCAAGTTCCTGAAAGTTGAGACAACAATTTTCCTCTCTACTTACAATAAAAAAAAAATTTAGCAGTTGAAATTCTATGTCAATATAAGCAAGGCCAGTCATGCCACTGTGTCAGATACAATCAGATTGCACCTACCACATCAGGCTTCATGAAGAACTTAACACTGACTTGCCTAAAGTCTGGATCACAATGCAACTAAGGCAGCCATTAGACACGCTGTCCTCTACCGAATGCAGCAGCTCTGGACAGGCAGAGAAGCAGGAATTTTGGAGTCAACTGGGAAGACACCTAGAAATCAAGACACTTCTGGAATTCGCTAGCTGCAGAGTGGGATGGTTTGCTTTTGGGGTTTGTTTTGTTCTGTGGTTTTTTAAATTAGTTTTGGATTTACGCAATTAGTGTCCTTCTAAGTCCGGTTTTGAATAACTAAAGCCTCCTACTCACTTCAACTTCTATTTATTCTGTTTAACTCTTTCTCTAAATTTATAAAACCACCTTTAAATAATTCCATGCTTTGTTAGCTTTCATTGAAATGACTCACATGTTTAAGTTTATCTGAACAAAACAAAAAATGACAAATGGAAGCCTGTGTTTCCTGGAACTACAATGTCTAAAAACCTTTTATATTCTGCAAAACAAAGTTGAAAAGCGGCTGCTTTTCACTAATGAAGGGTAATTTATGGAATTAACTCTCTTTCTGGTTCTTAAGTTTAATATTATTAAAAAAGATAATGCATTACTCTTCAATAAGCATACATATAAACTCAAGTTTCTATTCAAATACTTCCACCAAGCTTTTACCTGAATGAAAAGGAAGCAACAACAGCCACTTGGACAAACGTTCCCAAACAGCATTCATTATCCAGGCATTCGCACTAATTTCAAGCTGATGTCTTATAACAGTGAACACAAGATCCAGCAATCATTAGCAAGCTCAGGTCCATTGAACCTGAAATTGCTGGATAACAACCGCATTTGCTTAAGGGACTACCCACTAGAGGGAGTCGCTGTTTCACACATTAAATCCCAGTTGGCAAACGATCAACCTCAAAATGCTACTCCTCTGGAACTGTCAGCAACACAAAATACTACTATAGGTAGAACAAAGCCTGAAGTAGAGAAAGAAGTCAATATAAAAAAATGACATTAAAATGTTCTTTAGAAAAAGAAAAAAATCCCACAGTTATTTTAGCCATTCAAAGAGATGTTTCTCATATGCTGGTAACTGAAAACAGTTTTGCCAACATATGCTCTTACAGAGCCTCTGATATACCTGTTCTGGCTATAAACAGTAAATTTTACAGAAATAAACAAGTTTTGTGAAATTAGTGCAAAATAGGAATTATGGTATTTTCTGTTGTATTTTCCCCATTGTATCAGCAGCAACATTACTGGCACATGGGAGAAACTGGGAGTCTTCTACGTACAAGATTCAAACAATCGTCTCTCAAAGCTGAGACCGAAAGGCTCTTAATACTGCTGGCAAGGGAAAAAGACAAAGGCCATTAAAAACAAGGGGCATATGATTTCAACAGATTTTCTACAGTCTTTAATGTTGCTTATCAGTAATTGCTTTATCTTTCAGAATATAAATGAAGAGGCACTTTTGGAATCCTGAGAGAAGAAGAAACCTAATTCTAATTCCCAAAGGTGAATTATCATGAGTAATGTGTTAGTATGCTGACAAAACTTGCTGAGGCCCTCACACAGTTAAAAATGTCTGAGTTACCAGTTCCTGCATATGAAATTTCTTACTGAAAGCGTGGAATCAACAAATGTTAAAAACAAGACAGTCCTTGAATTATATACCACTCAACAGCAACATACAACAATTACATACCACTCAACAGCAACATACTCTTTTTCCGCACGATTTCTATAGCCAGAGATTTCACTTGATTCTTTAACACACATACTTTGAGAACAAATAGAAGATAACTAAAGAAAAATGCAAAATATACAACTACAGACACATGCTCTATTTTCATTTACATCAGATCTCAACATACGCTTCAAACAAGAAATCTGCAACATAAGCTCTGTTCTGTAATATACCTGATAAATCTGGCTTGGAGGTTTTGAGCAACAGCTGGAAATCTCAGAAAAATCCCCATCAGTCAGTAGTACTTGAAGCTTAGTATCTATCTCATTTAGGTGATGAAATTGAATCGGTTCAGGTGTGTACCCTTCTCCTGGTGCTAGCCAGCCAGATACATCCTCCTATTGAAAGATACAGAAAATATTTAATCCTCGTTCCCAAAAGCAACAGATTTTAAAGGCAGTTACACATCAAATAAACCATACTTAAGAATAAAATGTAAGTTTTCATCCACCTCAGTATATAGCTGAAATCTGCCAATATTCATGTACCAAGCACACTCAAAGCCGGTATCGACAGAACAATTAGAGCCATATATTTTTAAATATAACCAAACGGCAACTTAAATTTACTTTAAAAATATATATATATTTCATTTTATTCTTAGAAAGCATGTGCACCTACATGCATTGTTAAAATGTAATAGCAAAAAAGGTGTTGCGTTAATCTAAACGGACTTCTGCTATTATTTCACTTATTTCTATAAAAGTCCAAAGCCTGTGTCCTCACTGACTAGCCACTCAGAAGCCCTGAAATAAAATTGCTTAGACAGATGCTTTGCCTCCATGCCAGCTGGCCAAAGAGCAGACAGCTCCCAAGTTCCCCATCCATTCTTCTGAAGGTTATACAACTCCCTCGATCAAGTTTTCTTTATGCTTCAGAGAAGCACTTTGGATAGCTAACCCCTTTTCCTTAATGATGCATCTCTCTATATAGCCTCTTAGCCCAGTTAGTCAAACCTTTAAAACAGTCTCATGCCATGCCGTGTCACGCATATTGCAGTTCCCTTCCATGGATGCAAACTCTTTCCTTGTTGTGGTTTCTGTATTTGTTCTATACAGCAGTCCCAGCACCCTTTTGAAGGAATAATTGCTTGTCACGGTCTAACTTGCATATAGATCTTGCTGCCCAGTGTTGCACAGTCAGCATCACTTTCTGATGCCACTGACATGAAAATCAATTTTAGGAGTTCTGCGCTCCCTTGCAAGACAGTGCAGAGAACAGAGATGAAGAGGAAAGCATCTGGCAGATGTAGATCCACCAGTGCTAGGACAGAAAACACAACATGTGATAAGCTCACATTTTCAATGCTAATATTGAAGTGGAAAAGCACAGCTCTCAGAAACTGCACCAGAACTGTCCTCAACATCATCCTAAATCACATCTGTTACACCTTACACCTCAGCACTCCTTGTTTGCACACTTATTCTGGAGACACCATATTACAGCTTAAGTCCAAGGAACTGTACAGAGACCACATAGCAAACTTGAGACAGCAAGATATTTTTTGCTTTTATAAAAGACAAATGCAAGCCAACAGGCATAAAAATGAGGTGTTCTCAACTACACTGAACATGTCTTGTCAAACTCCCCCAATTAACTTCCATCTCAACGTCTGGCAGCAAACGAAGGGACACATCTATTCTAGTACACACTCAATCACACCTGCACAGCAGCATGTTAGAAGTTCAAATAAAGTGGAACATAATACGCTACTTTCTATTGTCCTCTGAAGGAAGTGGAAGTGATAGACTCCTCTGCAAGTCAAAGAAGGAAATACAATCACCAGCTAGGTCTAAAAGGACAAGCACCTTCCATCCAATAAGGATTCAAAAAGAGAGAAAGCCTGATCAAAACCAGGCTTGAAATGAAAATACAGAGGTTGATGCTCACCTGGAGCCAAATCTCAAAATGAGGGTATATGTAATGTGACACTTGCAATGTATTACCAAAGAAGAAAAGAAGGCATCCATAGGCAATCAAAAGAACTGCTCTGAGGTGAGTAGCTGCCGCCCTTCTAGAGCTCTGGTATGTTATCACAGAAACACTGGGAGAGACAGAATGTACAGAGTTCTTTTCCTGATGGTGATTTACATGACTTTTAGCTTTTAATAGCAGTAACGCCTGACTAACCATGCATGAATATGTGCTCCTAGTACAGACAGTTGCATATTACGAGTGAGTTTGGCCCACTTAACCCAAACAAGTGAGGTCATATTCACAAACAGACACAGGTTCCCCACAGCAACCTGGCATTACTGTCTCACACTCTGGGAAGCAAGTACGCACAGCCACCATTCCCTGGGAATGACATTAGCAGATTACATCTCTGACCTGATCGCAAAGAAACACCACATAGGACCTTAGAAGGGCAGGGCAGAGATGTAGGGGAGGACATGGGTGTATAGCTGGTTTCCTTTCTTTTTCCTAACAGAAGAGGGCCAGCACCTTGCCCTAAGATTTCAACATCTGTCTTGCAAGGGATTCATGTCCACCACTCCTTTACAGCTTCAGATTAGTCCTCTGGCTATTCAAGCAGCCACATCCACACAAAAGGAGGAAATATCAGCTTCCAATTACAATACCACTGCTATGAGGTCATCCCTGGTTCATCCTCACTACCCTAAAGCACACTGGTTACAAAAAAAGGAAAAAAGCATATCCCAAACACCTGCCACAAATTACCTCCATACTATTAAAAAAAAAAAAGTAAAAAAACCCCAACAAACTCATCTCTTTTGTGAAACTAAATCACTTCTTCTAATGCTTTCTCATACAAGTATGATGACACACCTAGTACGCCTGACCGGACATGACCCGACTCCAGAAAAGCCACTCAGAAATGTCTCTAGAAGCTTGCCAGCTTTGTGGAAGCATCTGTTCAGGTGAGACAGTGACCATCATAACATAAGTGTCCACTGTGGATACACTTGTGCCATGTTAACCACCCCTTAATCAGACACTGAAGAGCATAGTACAAACACACAGAAATGACTCTACAGGAGTCAGTTAAGCTGCAACTGGGCTCATTAGCTACAGCTCAGTGTCTATATCCCATGCTCTAAGTATCCAAATTATTCCAGTAGTTGCTTTACTCCAGGGTTAAATTGACTCACACACTATTTTGTATTTTCAAGATGGCTTTGCCTGGAAAATAAGCTTCTGTCCTGTCAATGTTTCCTCTGCGTTAACTCAGAACAATACTTTTATAACAGCACAGTCAGTGCTTATTACTGCGGAACATCTGGAACAAATTATACCCCTGCAGCTTTGACAATTAGGTTAGCATGAATATGTACTTCCAAAATATTTTAAATACTCATAAAAGACTTTTTTAAAAAAGTGAGAAGTGCCGTTTGGACATATTTAATAGTACAAATCAAATGAAATTAGATAATCTACATTATACAGAGGAATTCATACAGCGTAGCCAGCTCTGCCTTGATTGATAACCTCCAAAATATTATTTTAGCCAATGTGGTTGCACCAACTTTTTAAAAGTCAGAATGAAGTAAGATGAAAGTGGCCATCAGCTGGACAGTTACCTGGGCCAGCTTGAAGCAGTCTAGATTACTCATTAGCTGATAATTTCCTCGTGATTGCCATTATAAAGCAGCCACAGGAAACACCTCACCCATAATACAATTTAAATGTGGGAGAGGACGAATCCATCTCCAGACTAGGCAGGTTTAAGTAACTAAGTATTATCCTTTCTTTTATTCTAGTTTGGCGGTAGATTTAGGAGCTGTTTTCTTTAAAGAGATGCTCTAGTACAAACTAGACTAACTCACAAATTACCATTCTTGTCGATTGCATCAAGAACATACAGCAACACACGTCCTGTGTAGTGATCTATTTAATACCTGATATAAATACTAAAATCTCTACAGATACATGCCCAGATGATAGTGACATGTGCCAAATACAAAATTTGGATAAATGCTATACTTTTCGATTGCCTTGATGCCTTGAGGATTGGTGCAAAAAAAAGGTACATGTTGCTATTCAGAATTTGCATTAGCTATTCTGCATAAATGCCTCTAAAGTTTGTGAAGGACACAGGTTAAAGAAAAAGAAAACCCAATAACTATGTATTGTGAGTGAAGACTTTTGCAATCAGTAAAATAATAAATTCTTAAAAAAACCCTACTATTCTCTAGGTCAGAAAGCTAGGATGTTTACTAACAGAAGGCTGTTTAAAACATCTTCAGATCTTCAAATGCTGACGTTTATCAAATGAAGGACAAGTCCTCAAATTGAAACATGTCCTTGATCAGGAAAGAATAGAAGAGACTGCATTGTTAATCAAACACCAATCTTTCCAACAAGAGGAGAAAACAAAAAAGCAAACAAAAACCCCACAATCCTCTCCCTACAGGTTTTTCCTACTCAAAGGCTGGATGAAGCACTGTTTCAGCTGAACATTTTGTCGCCCTTGCATGGGATAACAATGCCAAACCTGTTGCAAGCATATCTAATAGAATACCTTGAATCTTCTTCTAAGTGCATAGACAAAAGATCAATTAAATAATGATCCAGTGAGCTTTAACTTTGCTCTTCTAATATGCAACAAATTAAAAGTACAATAAAAATCAACTCTTCTACCCAGTAGATCAACATTAGACCAAAGAACCTTCCACTGCAATTTTTTAATGCTAAACTATATCAGCTAAGTCAAACATCTCTGTGCAATGTCATTAACTGATGAATATTTTACACAGATAGATAAGTCAATCTGCAAGCTCGGTGTTCACATCCAAACAAATTAAATAAGCTTTCTATGTAAAGCAAGGGAACAAATGTCAGGTCAGTAGGAAGACTGGTGCAATTTTACAGAAGTCAAAGTGTTTCATCTCATGAACACAAGCACTGAGTGTGGCTGATAGTTTTAAACCCTTGCATATCAATGATCAACAAAGGTTATGTGTTCTGTGCTTCTACTTCAGCGTACTAACTGTGAAAGGACCGTTACTGTTAAAATACTGCACATTTATATAATTTCAGTCATTTGTCGATCAGGTTTTCCTGACTGATACAGACTCCTTCGCTTATATTTGCCCCACAAAGCTCTGAAAATGCCAAAGCGTAGTACATATTTACTGGTTTCCCTAGAGTAAAGAGGAAAGTTTTGGACCACAGACCAAATGAGTTTCAACCTGGAAATCACACTGAAATTGGGTAAATTACAGATTTGTTTAATGTCACAAACCATGGGTAGGTTAGTTTCTCTCTTTCCATAACCAGCTTGAAAAATTTTCTTTTGAAAAAGAAAATTCTGAGCTCACTTTCTTACCCCATATCCTGAAACAGTAATCTATAAACTTATAAATTTAGACACATTTTAGAAAAGAGTAATAAAGACCATCACCTCTTGGAAGTCTTCACCACCTTAGTAGAAAAATAACTCAAAGTAAAATACAGGAAGAAAGAATAAATAAAATAAAAAAATGGTGGTTTCTTTTGTTTCTTTCTCTCACATCTAAGTTGTTATTTAACCTACTGAAAAATAATTAACTCCAGATTATCTTTAGCTGTATAAATTAAACAGAAATTGGACCTTGCACATATTTTGTTCATTCTACACAAAGTTCACATCATTCTTCTTAGGTACTGTGATTCAGTGTGTACTTACTAATGTTATGAAAAAGTTCATAACGTTACTATAGACAATATAATGTACATTTTAATGTAAAACAAATTAGAAAGTCATGTAATTTCCTCACACAAAGTAAGCATTTTCCCAATATTTCTTATTTATTAAAATGCAGGTTTCTTGAAGCGTTATATCAAGTTAACATAGTTTGAGGATGTTCATTCTATGAAAACATACCTTTAGCATGTTTAATACCTATATAGTTGAAAAGTACTGTAAGTTTCTAGTATGATTCATTTTTCAAACCAAATTTTATCTTCCCATTCTAGCAGCCTTATGATTGCTTCAGTAAAACAACAAAGCCCCCGAGAACTCCTTCACCATGACATTCCCGTCAAAACAGTAGGAAATAAAGGCCATTTCCTAGTAACTGGCAGATCAAAAGACTATTTGATGTCTTCATGTTACTGGGCATCATTTTGTGGCACAGACTCTCCTAGAAGCAGTGACTGGTAGGACAATCACACACTCTTTTTTACTCTCCGTGAGGAAAGGTATTTCTATCTACTTCAGCTCTTGCTATCCACTGCAGTATACAGACTGCACACTCTTTAAAATTATTATTTTATAGCATAAACGTCTAATACTTCAGCAGACTTTGGCTCCTGTGTATACTTTGAAGACAGAGTGAGTTGGAAGCCACACAAAGATGGCATGTTATCTTTCTAAATGGACACATTAGCTTCATCAATGTATATTATCCCAACTGCTGCATTCTGAAGTTCATGTTCTCAAAAAACTCTTGGAGTTTTTTAAAGTAGTTGCTGGCCCTTCTACCAGAGACTACAGCACTAGCCACTCAGATTGATAGGCCGCAACTTCACATTTTATGCAGAGAAAATAACCCATCATCTTCTCTGAGCATACTTCTAAGGCTCCTTCCACCCATGTCTAATTTTTCTTGCAAATTCTGCTGTTTTTCTGAGGTCAGGCATGTCCGAGTGTTGGTAAAACGAACAAAGAAGCCAATGAAAATTCATTCTTGGAGACAAAGCCAATTGGATTTGTCCAGCTTTTCTCTCATATCTCAGTAGGCTACTTCATGGTAGGACTAAAACCAAATCAAATTTAGATTTACCATAAAAATAAGCCAAATACAACAGGACAGTACAAATTAAAGTTGCCATACCTCAAGACCTTGCAATTCAATTCCATCTTCTATATCTTTCAATAGTTCAATTAGCCTTTTCCTTTCTCGCTCAAGCATAACAATCTGGTTTCCTGAATCCTTTGCTAGCTGAAATATTTACAAAAAGAAAAAAAAAAAAAGCAAACTTTAGAACTCCATTAGCTCAAACAGCACCAAAACAAAGTTTTAAAACTCTGTGAATTTAACATCCAAATCTTGCTTATTGCCATAATATAAATTATCATTCTGACAGAAAAATCTAGCAGCCTACATATAATAAATTGATAATCTTATAACAGTCTTTGACATAGAAGGGGGTGAATATTTTTCATTGGATGAAAAATTATTATAGCTCTAGGTCTTCAAAGGAAAAAAAGCATGAAAATCAAAGCATCTATTTTCTGACAGAAGGAAGACTTCTGTAAATAAGGGTCCCTTGCACCTATACATGAACAACCTGCATACCCATTCCTTATCTATGCATTAAGAACATCTTCCTTTAACTTAACAGTAAACACATTTTAAAAAGTCTGAGGAAATATTTGCCCTCAAAACAAGTCACGTCCAGGCACAAACAGAACAATTCAGTTTCCGGTACTCTTTAGCAAATATATCGAGGCAGTATTATCCCTGCCAGATTTTTTTTATTTATGCCTAATTACCTTTTAATGTTCCTGATAAAATACCCAACTGTCTCCAGAAGTACTTCCATACTATTTTTTAGTTAACATTTAACAAAACGTTAATGATTTTAAGGTTTAATGCTTACCTCAATGTTCTTTTTAATGAAATCCTGTTTGTTTTTACTCTTGCTATGTGTTTTCTCTGCATGATTAAGAAATTCATTTGTTTCTAATTCACTTGGATAATCTGAAGTTTGAGGAAGAAAAGTTGCTAAGTTATGATCATTCCTTTTCTGATTCAATCAGAGCTGTAATAACAGCAATCCCATTTAAATCTTTAACAAACATATAAAGCGGATGATAGACAAACTTTTTATACGCTGTTTTCATTATTTATATAAACTATATTGCTCTATTTAACACATAACTATTGTCAAATTCTATTCTCATTTTTAAGCTTTTATTATATGAGATCATTCAATGTTGCGAAGGCTAAAATATTTTCGGATTTCTGACCTCAAAAATGTTAAACATGGCAGCTTTAAAAGCCACGGCATTCCTTCGAACCCTATCATTGTTTCAGTTTTATCATCAGTACAAAACCAGACAATATTTTTTTTTAAAACCACAGAACTATTTGGAGACATATCAAGTACATTTTTTAAAATAAAACAGCTGAAGAACAGATGATATAGTTGATATTATTATAACACAGCTTATAAAACAAATTTTGTTTAAAAATAAAACTTGTCATAGAGCTGTAAAGCTATTAAACAGCCACATGATATTCTGACAACATCACACATATGTTTTTTCAACAATGGGTTTTAATCAATCATACAAAAATGGTCACATATTCTGTTTTTCAGAGACTTTTACCAATTTTAAAACAGCAATTCCTTTACAAACAGCAAATATTTATCACATTAAATAACAAATCTAAGTAAATACAACCAACTTCTAAGTCTCAAAAACTACTTCAGAAGTAGGCATGGTACTTCTTGCTTCTCTGAAAAGTAGAGATTTGAAAATGGGCGAGCTATTCGCCTACAAAAAAACAATTTAACATGTTAGATATTAGAAGATAGGCTATGAAAGTTTACATGAAAGTAACTCTTTTTCAGAGTGAGTAGATCGAAAGCAAATTCCCAAAGATATGAAATAAATGCCATGCATCCTTTTACACACTATGGACAAAAAACTGTTTAACGTTCTCACCAATCATCAGACTTACTCTCAAGTTGCAAGTAAATCTTAAAGGACTGAGGTGTTGGATCTGATCAAGAAAACCCTGTCACAGTTCAAATGCACAACTGTTTACTGAAAGCATTTCAAACTATCTTTAACATTACCAGGTAACATCTTGAATCTATCAAGGAACTGGATAATATAAGAATTTACCAATCAATATAAATATGACAAGTTGTATCCTGAAATGAGCAAAACACACCAAACACCGACATAACATGCAACATATGTGGGGTGCAGTTGACATGCTGGAGGGAAGGGATGACATCCAGAGAGACCTTGACAGGCTTGAGTGACAGGCTTGAGAGGTGGGCCCGTGCAAACTGAATGAAGTTCAACAAGGCCAAGTGCAAGGTCCTGCAAGTGGGTCAGCGCAATCCCAAGCACAACTATAGGCTGGGTGGGGAATGGATTGAGAGCAGCCCTGAGGAGAAGGACGCAGGGGTGTTGGTTGATGAAAAGCTCAGCATGAGCTGGTAATGCATATCCTGGGCTGCATCAAAAGAAGCGTGACCAGCAGGTCGAGGGAGGGGATTCTGCCCCTCTACTCCGCGGTCGTGAGACCCCACCTGGAGTACTGCATCCAGCTCTGGGGGCCCCCAACATAAGAAGGACACGGATCTGTCAGAGCAGGTCCAGAGGAGGGCCATGAAGCTGATCAGAGGGCTGGAGCACCTCTCCTATGAAGACAGGCAGAGAGACTTGTACCTGTTCAGCCTGGAGGAGAGAAGGCTCCAGGCAGACCTTCTAGCAGCCTTCCAGTACCTGAAGGGGCCTACAGGAAAGCTGGAGAGGGACTGATTACAAGGGCATGCAGTGACAGGACAAGGGGTAATGGCTTTAAACTGAGAGTAGATTTAGATGAAATATTACGAAGAAATTATTTACTGTGAAGGTGGCAAGACACTGGAACAGGTTGCCCAGACAAGTTGTGGATGCCCCATCCCCGGAAGTGTTTAAGGCCAGGTTGGATGAGGCTTTGGGCAACGTGGTCTAGTGGAGGGTGTCCCTGCCCACAGCAGGGGGGTTGGAACTAGATGATCTTTGAGGTCCCTACCAACCCAAACCATTCTATGATTCTATATATGAAACATTACTTTTAAGCTACATGTTTCTCCAACTGTAAAATAAGCATTTTTAAGAGGGAGCTGTCATACAGAACATCTCACAACATTCAAGTAAAGAAGGGACAGACATGGATCACTGAGAGAAAGAATACACTGAAGATTGCCATGGGTAAGTAAAAGAGAGACTGCAAATTTTGCATATGAGTTTTGGTAGATTTGGTACAAAAATTTGGTACAAGTCTTGATGAAATTGCTAAAGTAATATTATAAAACTAATGCATACATTCTTCACAAGTTAACCTCCTCTTGTTCAGGGTCTGCCTTTATGACAACTGTTACACAGAAATCCAAAAGCAACCAAAACAATAAGTCTTAACTATTCAGAAATCATATCAAAAGCTTCCAGTAGAAATAGTAAAAGTCATTTAAGTAATTTATTGCTCATAAGTTGTAAGTGATCTCTATGTCATGAGTTCTCATACTAGGAGAATGTAGAACATCTCAAAACAGTGCAAGCAACAGCAACTTCCAACCATACCTGTACTGGGAGTCTGAGAAGCCACTGCTGTCCTGAATACCGGTAATGAAACCTGCCATCACTATTCAAGGACACTCCAGCACAACTTGGAAATTGTAAAGGTGGAAGCTGAGGGTCAAGCTTCATTTTAAGGGAGGAATGAAGACTTGTAGTAGGAAGACAGAGAAATCAAAAGCACAGCACTGCTCCAACACAGTGTGAAGAAACGTTTAATAACACAAAGTTAACGTCACATACTGGTGGGCTAAGACAAGTGATCAAATAAGGGAGCTGAAGTCCAGGTTTAAAAATTAAAACATGCAGTCACATTCTAAAAAGGGAAGAGATTCTGCTGCCATCAATGGTTCAACCTTGAGGAACACGCGTTTATTATGTCCTTGTCATCTTAGCCAGTCACCAGAAAGATAGATTCCCTCTGTTTACATAGAATGGTAAATGACAAAGAAATAAACAATTGCAGCTGAATAGCAATGGCAGCTGAAGCTATTCTTCTTATGTCACAACACATGTGAGAAGTTACTCAACCATACAAATTTGAATTGCAAATAGGGAAAACAATTCCATTTATTCTGAAGTGTTGGACACACTACACTACTACCAGCATTTGAAAGCTCTAGACAGTGCACATAAACAAGTGATGTGGAAAAGAATCAGCACAGATGTTTGATTTTTGCCAGAAAGTACTTAATCCATAAAAGCAATGTAGCCTTTACAATAAACAGCATAACAAAATATGAGTTGTCTCAAAATTTAGCTTTATCACAAGATCCATACAATTTCTCCTGAAAACAAAAAAACTACAGAACAGTTGAAACCGCATACAGCACTACTCATCATTTTAAATGGTTTCTTGAATATAAGCCTATTACTGAAATTTACAGTACTTTAGAATAACAACAAAGACAAGTTTTTAAAGAATTTCCATGAAAAACCAATGATACATTTTACAATGAATCAGTTACACACCTCGTCATTTTGCAATGAAATAAAATGTTTTATAAACCCAAGAGTAAAAGATTTGCTTAGTATGTTGAGTAAAATGTTTTAGATAATTCACAAACAAAATTCTCTTTTATCATTTGTAAAAACATAAGAAGCGTTGCCATGCCACTAGGCAACCTTGCTTTTTCTGATTTCATTGCCCTAGCCACAAAGGCCAAGTCTTCATTACTGACCCATTGTACATGTTGTTTTGCCATATCTAGAAATACAAACTATACAATTAATAAAGCTTACCCTGATTATGTTGGGGTTTATCACAATCATAATCTTCTGGATTAATTTGTGTGTGAAATAATGAAGTACATATTACATCTTCTTTAGCATGGGAGGGATCTGCAAGGAATTTTTTCAGTAAAATTTAATTGAAATGTATTTAAAGAATACCTAGTTTCATGTGTGTCATACCATAAGATCTCACACATGAAAATTAAAGAAATTTACTTGAATAAATTATATAGCCACCATATTTCTCAAGAAATAAAGAAGGAGAGAAAGTGTAATGTGTGTCTTGTGAATAATTATGCTGTTTCATAGGGCTGTGTTTTTAACAACTACTGTCCACACAGGACAAATAATTACACTCTAGAAGATACAGCCCAAGGCCCTGAAGTTCAAAAGCCACTGCGGACACCATGTGGCAAGTCATCTAGAACTTTGAATGAGAATAAAGTATCCAGGTTTTCACAGCTGGTGTCTCCTGTGCATGAATTAGACTTCCAAGTGGCTTAGGTCAAGGCTATAGTCTAGAAAAAAAGTGTTCAAACATCCTAGCATGCAAGAGTTGTTTCAGTTATTCAAAGAAAAAAATTCAGTCATGGTATTAACATACTGGAAGTATAAGTTAGAGCATTAACTTGCACGTTATACACTTGGCACTTACAGAAAAGGACTCATATTGCAAAAAAACTATATGTATCACATATGAAAAATGTGTTTTCCACAATGAAAAAAACAACCAACATCCCGTAATAATGAAGTTTAGTGGACTCAACTGAAATTACGATTTTGTTACACACAGCACAGGGGAATTAATTCAAGCCCATTTAATTAACTCCTGATTTACATTTCTGCCATGTGTGTGTCAGAGGGGTTTTTGTGCATGTGAGGCTGGGACACATAAGTTATTCATGATTCTGCACCCAGAATTTGTGTGTGATTTCACAGCCACATTAAAAACTATAATTAAATAGCTCCCCTATATAATTTATATAACAAAGCTTTTTATCAAATTCAAGCTCTGAAAAGCAAAACATGTGAATTGCATTCTAGTTACAGTATCAACTACAGCAGCTATCAGGGCACTTGTTTAACTAAGACAGACCTGAAAAGTAAGGCACTAGCATGTCACAGAAAATTCAAGATAAAGATCAAGCTGGAGGAAAAATATAAATCTAAACTATGCACAGTTTGGCCAGTACGGTACACCAGAACCCATACGATGGACGTGATCTCTACAACAAGAAGTTACCTTTGAAATAAAAGGGGAATTGAAGCATGCAGCTCATTAACCACCATACAGTCTTGCTTGCCTACTGGTTTTTTTACCATATACTGACATCTACTGGACACTTCATAAATATCACCGTATCAAACACTTCTTGCCTTAATAACCCAAATTTTAGCATAGAAATAAAAGCAGGTTACCTTGTAATAATAAGTTTTGTTGAAATGTTTTAACCACACATGCTACCATTATTATGCACATCCTTCCAACATTCAAGCTGAGCTTTTTGCTCAGCAATTACCATTCAGATCTCAAATCCTTGTTCTCTCCCCAACAAGAAAATAGAAAGGATGCACCACAATTCTATTTCCTTTCAACCACGAAACGCTTTCAACCAAAGCATACAGATGAAGGACAGGATGCAAAATGTGCATATGATTGACACATCTCTGAGAACTCCAGCACCAAGACAGACTATTCAAACAGCACATTTTTTTAAAACCACTCTGAAGCAGTTTAGACATGGTATATTCTTCACAAATTCAGTCTGGCTTTGTCCCCCCTGCCAATAAAGACACTGTGAGCAGAACACCCACAGTTTGTTCCAGTGTCTACTCCAGTAAGAGTCTAGCCACAGAAAGAAAAAGGGCATTTTAAAATACCCAATATTTTCTTTTTCCAGGTCCCTGTGAGCATGTACATCTTCTGTGCATTCTTGACCGTACTTCAGCCACTTGCTTTAGGACACCAACAGAATTGTGTCCTTCTGACTCAGTAGAGAAAACATTTCTAAACAGTTTTTTAATGTTTCTTTCCCTATTCTACCTATAGTTTTACATTATTGGCATTCACTGTAATTTGGATCATAATTAGTATTTTTGTTATGTATCACATTCCACATTTCTCTGTATCATTAGCTATTTGTTTACCTTTCCTGCTAAAGAACTCAACCATTCGTTAGTCATTTGTTTACTTTTAATGCAGCTATAGAATATGGTAGTTTAAATGTTACTTAAGATGGAAGTGATTTTTACTAAAAGACTAAAATGCAAACATTTATTCTTATCAGTGCATTCATTTCCACTTTGCATATTTTTGTCTTCATTGTCATATCATGATTAAACTCAGAATTTATCTTTTCAGACTTCCTGGTCTTTTCTTCCTGAGAATAGTCTGCTAGCTTGTCTTTTACATAGTTTCATTTTATAAAATTGCCATCTAGCCTAAATTTTCTTCCCAAGAATTCTCAGGGAAAAAAAACAATTAAAAAAACTAAGTTAATGTTTCACATTCATGCCTTTTCCTTAGAATCACACTCTATATTATTTGATGATCCCTTTCACTCAAATTGTCTCTTACATTCAGAATCTGAAATTCTTTTAGAAGTGACTTAAATGTAACATAATCAGTATCAAATTTAATGTAAATGACCCATACTCCCTTTTGGACCATGATCCAAGACCTGGGCTATGCATCCATCTTCCTGTAATGTTTTCCAACATATAACTCAGTATTTTGTATTATGATTTTGTCCCATTCTTTTGGTTCTTCTGTTAAGAATTCCTAAAAAGTCTCAGGATTTCCCTCCCTCTGGACCATATTATGAAATCCTTACCATGGCATTGCCATTGCTTCCTTCTCACTCTCTCTCGCACTCTCACGTGAAAATTTTCTCCAAGATACATGTGTGGCAGGGCCCACATCACTAGAGCTTCCAAGTAACATTTTTGGGCCTAATATTTTTTAACTGCCTGCCCTCCTGCACAAGTTACCCAGCCTGGCAAACTCTCTTACTAAGACCTCACCATTTTGTTTGTTTACCAAAACAATTTTGAATTCCTTGCTTATTGCCCAGATGTTCCAAAATGGTAAAGACTTCCAAGTTTT